TTCGTCTGTCACCGGTTGAATATCCTGTCGAACCGTTCAGGCTCCTTTGGCTAAAATGTGCAAGCGACAAGCTGTTTGCCCCAAAAAAGGTCTCGAAGGACTGCATCTCCGACCTTCACTTTCTGCCGAGCTTGTTTCTAACAAAAGTGCCATTGAAGCCCTCCATATGAAGCTTATCGACTTGTTTCTGGAATTCATCTCGTTCTCATAGTTTTTGAAAGGAATCTCCGGGTCAGTAACTTTTTCCTTGTCTTGCCCCTACTCTTCTCAAAAATTTGACTTTAGTGTGCTCAGTGTAAATTCCGGTTCATTCGAAGTCCTTTACAATGTAGCAAAGTGACATATTCTTCGATTGCGGGTACCACGTCTTTTGGATTGAATGTGACACATAGTCGCCCTGTAGACTGTCCTCTGTATTTTCATCTCCTGTATTACAACCCCTCTGTCCATTAATGCAGATTATTCATGTTAACAAACACGTTTTTTGTGGATCAACACCTCTTTCGAATGATGCAAATGATGGAAATAAATAAAAGAGAGAGAAAAAATTAGTGAAGTAAAACAAAATAAAAAAAAATGAAAAATCCTACCCCACATGATATCTACCCGAACATGCTTAGTATTCCTACTCGGACATGATCTCTATCCCGTATGCTAATTTCAAACAAATCCTAACCGCATATTTGTCTAGTTCGCATGCTTTGAACAGAAAGTAAAACATGAAATAATTCAGACATCCTAGGTTTGGAAATGAGGTTCTGGGGTAGGCTCTAATTCTTCAAAGTCTCCCGATTTAGGTTATAAAAACGGTACCCGAGTTCTCCTTACTGGTGCCCCCTTGGGCTTGCCAGACCCTTAGTCCTAAACCCATCACAGGCTTGTGTGGACTAAGTTAAACTCGAGAGGATACATTCCCTTATGTCTATGCGGAGAATAAATTCACACGAAGACATAAGGTATATGAATCGCGAAGGCTACTTGCTAGGCATATGCGGTGAATAAATTCACATGAATGCGTCGCTTTCAACCCCATTTAAAATGGGTTCAGAGCTCGGGTTTAGAGCTTTAGATGAAAAAAGACTTTAAGGGCTGAAATCATTGAGAAAACTGTTAGTACAACTATTTACTCGAAAAAATATAATCAAAAGTAAGCATAAGGATCGAAAGGTTACCTTAAAATTTAAACTTACCCTTTTCGTTAAAAAGACAACTGGAAATTACCTTAGCCTGACTCACTTACTGTGTCCCCAGCGGAGTCGCCAAGTTGTCGTAACCGTCTTTCGGTTGGGCCCCGGAATTGGGCTTCGACTTGAAAAATGTGATTGGAGTCGCCACCGATTATTTATTTAAAAATAAATAGGTTAATCGGATACCTTATATCTTACCTGATCTGCGTCTTACCAAAGATGTGTCGGATTCGGGAGTCGATTACGGTCAAGGAAGGATTAGCACCCTTGAACCGCCCTTTCAGTACTACGTAATTTGCCGGTTGTCTTAAATTAAGAAAATTGTAATTTAAAATTAAAAGGTAAAAATACGATCACAATTACTTACCTTAGATAGTTTTAAAGGTGTGGCCTTAAGAAGGTCAAAAAACCATGTTAGATAAAAAGGTAATAGATAAAAGGTAAGAAATAAATAAATTAATTAAATTAAAATAAAGAGAAAACAAATTAAATAAAAGATAAGATAAAGAAAACAAAGATAAAATAGTAAGTAAAATAAATATAAAAAATAAAGAAAAGAAGAAAAAGAAAAAGAAAATATAGAAATAAAACAAATAAATAAAATAATAATAAAAAAGTAAAAATAATATATATATATATAATAAAAAATAAAAAAGTAAATATATATATATAAAAATTAATAAAACTGATAATAAAAAATAATATATTTATATATATAATCTAAAAAAAATAAAAATATATACTAAAGTAAAAAAGAAAATACATAAAATGTAAAAAAAATATTACATGAAAAAAAAGAAAAGAAAATAACAAAACAATTAAATAAAATGGTAACAAGGGAAATGTACTTATAAATAAGTTAAATAAATAAAATAATAATAATTAAAACGTAAATGTAAGAGACCAAATCAAAAGTAAAAAAGATACTACCTTTTATTTATTTTTCGAATCGTTTACAATAGCTTTGCCTTTGTATCTTCTTGTGCTTTCCTCTATGTTTTGTGTGTAAATCGTGTCTTACAATGGTGAGTTACAATGGCTATTTATAGTGCTTGTGGATCCTATCTTTAGGAGTTTAAATCATAAAATTCTATCATATTTTTTGAATCCTAGCAAAATTCTATCATATCTTTAGGAGTTTGAATCCTAAAATTCTATCATATTTTTAGGAGTTTGAATCCTAGTAGGACGAAAAATGTGTGTTGACAACAACAAAAAAGACGACGTCGAGGATCTCCGTTTCCTCGAAGAGACGGAAGGCAAAAGCGACGTCAGTTCTCCCCACTCTCACTTCAACGAGGAAGACGAGGGCGATCAATACGGAGACTTAGACGATGATGACTTCGGGAACGTCCATGATTTCGACGACTCCGATTCGGATCCGTACAAGGAACCCGAAGTCGATGACAAAGACGTCGTCGTTTTAAAGCAAGGGAACTTCAGTGATTTCATTGAGAATAACAAGTTCGTGATGGTTGAATTCTACGCGCCTTGGTGCGGGCACTGCCAGGCTTTGGCTCCCGACTACGCTGCGGCGGCGACGGAGTGAAAGGGGAGCGAGTGGTGTTGGCCAAGGTTGATGCCACGGAGGAGAATGAGCTGGCTCAAGAGTACGACGTGCAGGGTTTCCCCACTGTTATTTCTTTGTTGATGGGGGCATAAGCCGTATCCTGGTGCTAGAAACAAGTTAGTTTTGAACATAAAAATAAAGGATCTAGGATAACGAATTTTCGAATATCTACTGATTTGCAATTTGATTTTGGTTAAATCATGGTAAAATATGTACCAATTAGAATTTAACTGTGTTTAATGGAAGACTTTGTTTTCTTACTTTAAATGGTAGAGACTAATGATTAATCATGGGAAATTCAGGGAGGCCATAGTGACCTGGATTAAGAAGAAGATAGGACCGGGTCTATACAACGTTACTACCATTGAAGAAGCTGAACGCATGACCTCTGAACCTAAAGTTGCCTTGGGTTACTTGAACTCTTTGGTGGTATGATTAACCTTTCGCTCATTATATTTTTGCAGTGAATTGTTTTTTTTAAAGATTAGTGTGACTTGATGATCAAACAACATCTTCGGAACAGTAATTCAAAGTTTTGAGTTGAATAAGGTGATCAAGTTTTTGTATTATCATCGATTTGATCCAGCTCCATAAATAAACCCTTTCCTTAGATGATGTAATTTGGATTTGGCCTGTTATATGACAACAGGGTCCTGAGAGTGAGGAGCTGGCTGCAGCTTCACGTCTCCAAGATGATGTCAGCTTCTATCAAACCGTGAATCCTGATATTGCAAAGCATTTCCACTTAGACCCTCAAGTTAAACGCCCGGCTTTGGTCTTAAAAAAAAGGAGGCTGAAAAAATAAGCCACTTCGGTTAGTTTCTAGACAGATGCAATATTGATTGGAATCTCTATCCAACTTCTTAGAGGAAATTTTATACCAAATTGTTCTATCATGCAGATGGTCAGTTTGTCAAGACTGCAATATCCGAGTTTGTATTTTCCAACAAGCTTCCATTGATTACGATATTACTAGGGAAAGTGCTCCTTCAATTTTTGAAAGTGATGTTAAGAAACAGGTATGCATGTTATAGCATTTCCTTCTATGTGTGAACTCTTGGACCATACATACTGTGGATATAGTTTTCCTTTAGTTTTTCTACAATTATCTTATTGACACTTAAAGATAATTTTTCTTTAAGGTGTTGTTGTTTGCCTCATCAAACATTTCGGAGAAGTATATCCCATCATTCCATGAAGCGGCAAAATTTTTCAAAGGAAAGGTAACTAACATCAATAAATCACCTAGGATAAATTAAAGTATTCTTTAGTGTTGTATATTTTGATTTAATAAACGATTGAAGTGTGTGATTTCCGAAATTCTCATTTCTCTCTAGTCCTGTAGATGGGCAAAATGGCTGAAATAATGTCTTTGACAATAAAAAAAAAAAAACCAAAATCATCTAGTCCTGTAGATGATCACTTGGTAGCATCTTACAAATTCTTGTCTTGTATGCCTATTTTCAGCTCATCTTTGTTTATGTGCAAGTGGATAATGAAGATTTTGGAAGACCTGTTGCAGATTATTTTGGTGTCACCGGAGATGGTCCAAAGGTACGTTTCAAGTATCCTTTTTGATCCTTTCCCCTGCAGAATTTTTTTGGATGGAAGATGTGGGTGGAAGGGGTGAAGAAATGTATAATATTCTTATCTGCAATGAATTTGATGTTCACTATGGTGTTATTTGATTATCACGCAGATCCTTGCGTACACTGGAAACGAGGATAGTAGGAAGTTTGTCTTTGATGGAGATGTGACATTGGACAAATTAAGGTTGTCTCTTTTTCTATGTCCCACTATTTTAGCTTGTACTTAATGTGATTGGTGGACAATATTTACTCTCCAATCAACTTTTAAGAAGTAATACTTCAACATAACTTTAGGTTTCTACCATTCTGTAGGCTTTTGGGGAAGATTTTTTAGAAGACAAGCTTAAACCTTTCTATAGTCCGACCCAATTCCTGAAACTGTAAGTATCATTTTCCCATTATCAACTTTGTCATTGTTGATTGTAATCTTGACTTATTTTTCTCTTTTTAGGTTTCTTTTTTTCTTTTAAATTAACCTGAACTTCTTTTTGATGCAGAATGATGGGGATGTGAAATAGTTGTTGGCAATAACTTCAATGATATTGTTTTAGATGAGTCAAAGGATGTACTTCTGAGGTATTGCTGGAACCCCAAATATGGAAAAGGAAAAGGTTACTTTGTATTTCTTTAAACGTGCTTATTCCATCGAATGCTCTGAATACCAGATCTATGCACGTTGGTGTGGCCATTGCCAAACATCTATGCGGAATCGACTCTCTGATTATTGCTAAAATGGACGGGACAACAAACGAACATCCTAGGGCAAAGTTAAATTAATATAATCCGCCCTTCCACTTAAACTTTTAAATCCTCCATTTCAGTTCCTATATTGCACTTGAGCTTGAGTGGGACATATTTTTTTGTGCAGTCCGATGGGTTCCCAACGATTCTGTTCTTCCCAGCAGGAAACAAGAGTTTTGATCCTGTAAGTAGTATATTCTTCATGCATCAATCAAATATTAATTTTCTCCTTGTAAAAAAAGATTGAATGAAAATGTCTGAAATACGCAGATGACTGTGGACGCTGATAGAACCGTGGTGGCATTTTTTAAATTCCTCAAGAAACATGCTTCAATCCCTTTCAAGCTCCAAAAGCAGTTTCAGCACCCAAAGGGGAACCAGAAACATTTCCAGAAACTAAGACTGGAGAATCCAAAGAGAGCAGCAATGGTGATTTGAAAGCTGAGTTGTAACTTATAAGATGATCAGATGAGGGAGTAAATGAGGAATTTAGTTTTTAGTGACACCCTAAGTTATTGTGTTCCGTGAGGTTATGTATCAATAGATAAATTAAACAAGAGTGGGTGGGAAACTGGAATCCCAAAATTGTAATGATTCACAATCGTCCGGTCCACAGTCTTTTTTCCAGGATAAACAATTGGTTTTTCTTCCCGCCTAAATTTATGTAAAATTAAAGAGTTTTACACATTCATATAATATATATATATATATATATATATATTATATATATATATATATATATATATATATATATATATATTATCAATTAATTACATACATCTTCAATCCTTGATCAATATATATTTAAATATAATTTATTTATATACCCGAGTGTTACTGTTCTCTTCGTGATGATTCATTTTAGAAATGTAATGTGTATTTTTTAGGTAAAGTTTAGATATTATACCAAATGTAAGTTAAGTTGCATTATATTAATATCTTATAAAATATACGTTTCACCATTATATTTTTTTCAAAGATCGTGTCACGCATAATAAAAACGACTGTTATTTTGATAATTTATATTTTAAGTTTAATTTTTAAAGGTATTAAATTTGAGTATTTATATTTACGGGATATATATATTAGTAATAGACTAAAATATTCTAATATATACTATTTTATAATCATAAGTCATAATCATCCCGACTATTAATATCTAATCTCTAAGTTTAATATATCTTATTAAATTAGTGATTTTAATTGATAAAAGATATATCACAAGTTTATTATATAAATCATACCTTTAATTATAACAAAATTAATGAGAATTAAAAATAGAATAAACTCAACGATAACTTTATTAATATCGATTTCAGTTGTTGAAAATTTCAGTGACATGTACCATGCATCATATTTCTAAATTATTATTTTTTATAAAAATTCAACCATAAGATTTTACCAATTTAATCAAATAACATTTTTAATAATTACGTGATTTGTTAAAAAAAGCTAAAATAAAAATATTTGGATTTGAAAGAAAAAGATAGTTGTTGCTTTTTAAAAGCATGACTCATAGAATTTTCAATCATTTCGTCTTCTTTAATCTATCATATGAACCCTTTACTTAATCATAAGTCCTTTAAAACCCTCATCGAAAACCTCTCTTTACTTCTTGTTTGGCTCCGTTCCGTTCTCTCTTTAACTTCTGTCCGACGCATGCTCAAATTTTCACATGATTTCATTTTCACACCTAAATAAATTCCCGTTCACTGTATCTACCCCGTTTTTATCCCTTTCTCCTCTTAAATTCCTTCTCCCCAACCCTACTGCGTTTTGAAACTTCCTCCGTCTTCAAATATCCCCCCTTTTCAACTGCACTTTTTTAATTGTCAGATTGGTGAAATGGCGAAACTCGGATTTTTTCGTACCCTTGTTTTGTTCTTTCTTGTTGAACTCACCTTCGCTGCCTATTCGCCGGCACCCCGCCGTCACTCGGTGAAGACTCGTCACCGCTACTCGCTCCTACTCCAGTGAATGGATCCCCTGACTCAGCACCTTCAATCTCACCGGTGATGGCTGCTTCGCCACCGGCTCCATCTGCATCAGATATGGCGCCAGGAACCTCACCCGCGAGTTCTCCTGCTCCTTTCTCCGTACGATGCAAGCGATATCGACCACGGAAACATCAATGCGAAAGGAAGCGAAGAGAAGGCCGGTGGTGGAGGAGGAATGAGCGGCGGAAAAAAGGCGGGAGTCGTGATTGCTGTGGTGGGGACAGCGTGTTTGGTTGGCTTCGGTGGATTGGTTTACAAGAAGAGACAAGATATATCAGGAGAGCTCAGTACGGATACGCTGCAAGAAGGGAAATTATGTGAAGAAGATCAATACAGATTTAAGAACAAAGAGGTTTATATTCAAATTTATTTATCGTTTTGATTATAATTTGTTATTCTTTATAATGAATTTTCAACTATTTTTTTTCATGAGATAAAGATTATCGTAGTTGAAGTTTGGTCCGTTTTGTACCGCCGTGCTCTGCATTTCAGTTATTGATAGTCATCGATGTCTATTTGTTTAATACTTTTTATTATTTTTGGTCGGATATATCATCAGATCAAATTTATCAAACGAAACATAAACTAAACCGTTTAATTAAAGTTGTAGTACACTTTTGTCCCTTTAATTAAGAGTAAATTACACAAATAGTTTCTTAAAGTTTAAAATACTTGCATTTGGTCAAAATAACAGTCATCATCATTGTTTTATCAATTAATAATATTTTTTAGGTGAATAAAATTTTATAAAAGATGATGAATAATAATAGTGACAGTAACAGAAGAATTTTAGTATTCCGGACGATTATCAATTTAGAAGAAAGATAAATTTTGAAGTTTAAAATTTAATAAATTCTGCCTGTATCCCACCTGTTATAGATTCAGAGTTTGCAGTAAATTTTTGTTTTACTTTTGCAAACCTTGCAAGGCCACCAATCCATTGGAGTCTATTGGCTCGAGAGAAATGAACCATGCTTGTTTAACCTAAATGATGTTGGAATGTTATTGGATTTATATTAAAGAACCATAGGACCCGTCTGATGTGTACCGTGCTGCTCCGACCTACCCCGCTGCCATCTTCTTCTGCATCGTAGGATCTCAACTACGAACGAACTCCCACTCATTGCGACACCGAATCCAGAAAAAGTTGCAAGGAGAATCGATAGAATTGCTTGTATTTTCACCTGCACGCCACATAACATTACAATGAATCGATTTTATTCGATCATTTCGGTACAAGAATGAAGCAAAAGAGCCAAAAATACATCTGAAACATGAGCATAGATACTCTTACCGTCGAATAAAATATATGAGCAAAAGCAGCAACCAAAACAAATTGAATTGATGCATAAAGCCACACAAATCTTCGCGCCACTGAATACAAAGATTCAAGCAATATTTAATCAGAAAATCTTAAGATAACAGTTGGTCCAACTATCCTAAAATGATGTAAAACTTCAGTGTGAACGGATTCTGTTTCTCTCTCATATATATGTGCATAAATGTGTTAACCGAACTTCGGATAATTATATCATTGAAGTGTGCGAACCTACCCATTGTCGACGAAACCATGGATGAAAGAAGGCCTAGCACACATGAGAATGGAAGAGAGATAGCAATTGCACCAATGCCCATTTCTCCAACCTGAAGGCAACTGAATCATACACCGAGGATATAAAGTCGTAAAAAGGGGGAAATATATGAATGAGGAACTGCTTACCATAAGTTGCTCAAGAAACAAAAATACGAAAGCATGCTGATGAAAACAAGAATAGGACCTCATTCCAAACCCTGCAAACATCGAACCAAAATTGTTACTTCCCGAGCTCACAATATGGAAGAATAAGAAATACATTGCAGCAACAGGACAGACGATGGTAGAATTGAATTGGATGGAAAAACACATCAAGTTCGTGAAACAACCTTCCTCGTTTCAAGTATCCAATACCAGTTGAGACAAGTATCCTAAAAGTCGAACGTACCTAAGACCATCTGTGAGGAGAAAATACAGAGAGTAGGTAAGATTATTTACCTGTATCCAGGAACATCAGGCTGAAGACCTCTAATAGCTGCTGCATTTCAAGTTCGAGTACTTTGTATTCGTAAAAGAGTGACGGGTAGGTTCTGCACCTCTTGCTTACACAAATCACAGGTCTTGTTCCCTTTGATGGTAAACCATTTCACAGCACAGTTGTTGAGTTAATCGAATGACGAAATTGGCCAAGAGGGGGGTGAATTGGCAATAAAAATTTTGTGGAAGCTTTTGCAGAAAATTGAAAGCAATTGCACAGCGATTTACAGTGGTTCGACTTTCTCAAACAAAGTCTACGTCCACTACCTTAGCTATCCACACTAAGGATTTTCCAACAAATTCACTAATTTGTTCTTCTTTTGAGGCCAAAGAGATAACCTTACAATTCCCTCAAGAGTATACCCCAACTCTTGAGAACACTCTTTTCTCAAAGAGAAGATTACAATTTGCAAACTTACAAGAAAACCTCACAAGGTAAGATGTTTGCACAATTCTAGAACAAAGAAAGAACACTCAAAGATGAATACAATTGAGCACAAAAAGTGTTCTTGAAAGCAAAATGAATATTGAATGAAATGGGCTTGAAATGCTCAAACTTGAGGTTTGATGCTTTCTCTTTGATTCTCTCTTGATTCTAGTTGCTTGATGTTTCTTGTTATTGATCAATGGCTTCTAAGCTTGCTTAAATACACCTTGAATCACTTCTGAACGTTGGGGATAATTAGAGAAGATATTATAGCCGTTTTAGTGTGAAAACATTTAATAAAACAGCTTGGACAGTGGGGGGAATCGGTTCCCTATCATAGGGAATCGGTTTCCCTAAGTGTAAAATTCAAATATTCGACCGTTGAACAGGGGGGAATCGGTACCCCCTTGGGGGGAATCGGTTCCCTCCGAGCATTTGGAAATCTCGGAGCCAACCATTCAGGGGGGAATCGGTTCCTCCTATGGGGGGGAATCGGTTTCCTCTGATATTCTGGAATTTTTGGCTTTGAATTGGTTCGAAATACTTTGTAAATATTTTGAAATTGTTTATGATTAAAACTTAATTTTACACTTAAGTAAGGATCAAAAATGATTTTTGAAATATTTGGAGTAATGTTTTGATATTCGAATAGTTATATCGAATATACTTAGAAAATCATTTGGAAAATCTTAAAATCCATTTAACTTAATTTGTTATATCGAAATATTAAAATGTTTCAACAATCTCCCCCTTTTTGATATAACAAAACATTTTAGTAATTTTAAGATTTTTGAAATCAAGTTTTGAAATTAGAAAATTAAAATTAGAAATTACTCCCCCTTACTTTAACACTTATTCTTCTCCCCCTTTTTGTTAAATCAAAAAGACATTGTAAAACAAGGTTTTGTAAATCATTTAGCCAATTGATTTTAATTATAAGCTTAAGCTGCTAAGATCATAATCAAAAGAGAGGTTA